TATTATTAATTAATAATATCCTATTAACATATTTATACTATTTAAATATTAACATCTATGTTAATAATTATTAACATCGGAAGTTTATATCGATATTAACATCGGGTGTTAATACTCACTCAGAACGGAATTAATACGATTCACATATACCAATGGTGATCTGTGAAATTACCATCATTACTATTGGCGAGATTGGCGGTTTTGTATGTATTGTATCTGCTCTGCTGTGCGATATTACTATGTCACAAAAATGTATCGGTAGTAGTATGGTCATATTACAACCAATACCACTTTGTTACATAGTAATATCGCACAGCAGAGCAGATACAATACATACAAAATCGCCACTCTCGCCAATAGTAATGATGGTAATTTGACAGATCACCATTGGTATATGTGAATCGTACTAATTCCTGTCTGAGTGAGTATCGTATTTTTTTCCACTGCCAAGCACCCAAATGGCGGAAAAATCATTTTTTCGGGTTTTTTCTTTTATTCTACGCCGTGTTGCATTTAATGAACCACCTTAGAATCGACAGAAAAATTGCCAAAACGGTAGAGTAGAGTAGAGCATAGCAGAGTCCCAATTATTGACAATTTTTCTGTCGATTCAAAGGTGGTTCAATAAATGCAACACGGCGTAGTATAAAAAAAACCGAAGAAAATGTTTTTTCCGCCATTTGGGTGCTTGGCAGTGGAAAATAATACGATATTAACACCCGATGTTAATATTGATATTAACTTCCGATGTTATTGATTAATAACAAAAATGTTAATAATTATTAACATAGATGTTAATATTTAAATAGTATAAATATGTTAATTGGATATTTGAGGATATTATTAATTAATAATATATTATTAACGCGAGATGTTAATAATTTAACCATATTAATATCGTTATTAACATTAACATATTAACAATAATATTTTATCAACTGTGCAACTATAATTCAATTTATTTTTCCATACTTGCTGCATGTGACATTTTCTTCCCATCTTTCTTTGCACAAACTGGTCAAATTGAAATGATGAACATTAAATGCGTAGATGCTTCATTTATCGTATTCAAAACAGCTGGTCAAGTAATTTCATTTCCTCTGTACACACATTTCATTATGATAAATGCAATTATTCAATGTTTGATGCTCTGGTTGAATTTTAAAAACGAACATAGTTCGTATCAAACGAGCGGGACAGATGTGCAATCGAAACTCAATTGATCATAGTGTATACATTATACACATGAAAAGAAATAAGCAAAACGAAAATCTAAACGATTAGAGCAACGGAGAAGTGAGCAATACAAATAAACTAGTCGAGAAAAAAAATATTACGTCGTTGCTTATTAGCTGGATCCATGAATACAATAAAATCATAACTGTAAAATCGTTTGTCACACAATCGCAGCATTAAATACTAATTTCGCTGAAGAGTTTCTGTCGTTTCCACACACTCCATTCCCAGTTCAGTTCAGTTTAGTTGAGCAACAAAAACGAGATTTCACTCGTAAGAACGCAAACAAATCGAGATATGTTTGAACATCTGTGTTTACGTTGCTTTTGATCGCGATTGCTCAGCGCAATATTGTTTTTTTCACGCACCAACATCATCGATTTGGTGTATATTTTACTTGTAAAATGAATGATAAACATATTCAACTCAGTTGTATTCGTTTTTGTAATGGTTTCGATGTTTATTTCTATCACGTTCTATTCCCCTTAATGTCACTGTTGAATTTTTCACTCTCTGCAGGAATGGACTGTCAAATCAGTCGGTACACTCTAATTTCGAAGTTGATTTTGATTACACATTTAGTTCTCTGTTTGTTAGTCTTGAATCAGTTCTTTCATATCGATCGCTGGTCGCATCAGAACGGTTTTTTATGCATTATACCAATTAGGGACCTTCAATGCACTTCGGCACCAATTCCAAAAGTGTTTTTTTCTCTATTCAAATCCTTTTTGCATTCCAATTGAATGTGTCAAAAGATAATATGATCATGTAAAACTTAACTCATAAAGAAAATGAGAATTATCATAATGTTCATACTTCAGTCTGTGATACTTATTTAATTGATTTTAACACGAGTACAAATACTGTTAAACAGAGAATTAATGAATATTTTAAAAGAAATAGATTATGGAGAGAATAACAAATTTTATGCAAATCAACCAATATAATATAATGTAAATATATAAAAGGATATTTATATCAAATAAACCACCTCTGGCGAAGAAACGCTGTATGGTGCAGAATTATTATTATTAAAAATTGACGCAATATAGTCACTCTAATAATTGAACCATTGATTGTGCTGCATGAATCATAGCAAGCAATTGCACATTGAGGTGAAGTATTACATAATACATGCAGAAGAGCGATCGAGAAAGAGAGAGAGAAAAAATAAAGAATACAGTCGGCACTAGACCTATCCGATAAAAAAACCGTTACATTCATTCGAGTGGCTTTCCCTGCGATTTTTTCCATTCGTTTGCTCGTTCGTTCTTTTTTTCTTACTTCATTTTTCTCTTTCTTCGGTCTTTCGTTCGATCTCTGCTTTTATTTCACTACATCGTTTACAATTTCTTTGCGCTTATTTCATTTGTTATTTCTGGTGTTGTATGCGCTCACTTTGGTAGTATTCAAATGTCTTTGAACTCAGAACAATTTGCAATACACGCTCATTTTCGTATATAAAGTTCTTTTCAAACATTCAGTCGTTACAACATACATATGGATAACCACTAAATGAACAAAATCATCCGATAGAAATGATCATAGGATTCTGTACAATATATTGATAATTTCTAATTACTGACACACAAGAAACTTCTTATTCGATGGTATACCAAATGTCATTACCGTTTTGACTTGCTAATAATAACTTGTCAACACACAGAAATATCGGATAAAGTGCCATCTCATCCACCGTCAAAGCAGAAACATTTAATATTTTGTCTACGTTCGATATACGAAATAATTGCTTGAATTTCGTTTTATTGGTTGTCCCCTTCATTAGCAAATGGTCGCATGCATTTTCATTGTAACGTTAATAATGTACCGTTGCATTTCATGTGGCATATATTCACCTACACTTTCACATTCATCAAGTCTAAATAAAATTCACTATTGTGGAATATATGATGACCATTCTTTTTGTGGTATAAATTGTATTTCTTGACCTTACGTCACTTAGACTTATCTAAGTCACCTTTGATTTGTCAAGCAAATTTGCTGGTACGTGCGAAGCGAAATGTTTATTTGTATTGTAAGCATGACAATATTTCTCCAAAATTCATTTCACTTGATATTCTATTGACAATATTTCTCCAAAATTCATTTCACTTGATATTCTATTGTGGACAGATTTGAAAATAACGTCTAATTTTTTATGACGTTTATCTCAACACTCGTCAAATGTGCTGTAACTTATTTACAGAATTTATTCAGTAAATTTGTGTGCATCTACTTTGTATGGAGTTGTGATCAGAAATAGTATCAAATTTCGATTCATATCAACACTGCGTCTGATACGCTGCAATTTCAAACGAAAGAAGAAGAAAAAATCTGCTGAATCTACAAGATGATCGTGTTACATACGTCTCTTCGCGACAATAGAACGGGATCACATCATAATATTGAATTTCTTTCGAAATTCCGTTGTGGAATGGCAGACGTGTCCTTCGTAATTTCACCATGCACATGAATAGCTTGAAGATGAAGCCGAAAGATGCTGGTACAACCCGACTCTTTCTATATGAATCACTTCATTTTAGGCGAAATATTATGAGTGAAATTTTTTGTGGCAATTGGTTCAAGCATTTCATGGAAATGAGCTCACATTAGAAGATCGATCGAATGATTGATTCATACAGATTTTTCATTTAATTTGTGTGCGTTCTGTGGCATAGGCGCTTGAGTTTGAATACAGAATACGGGATACGAACTGAAGCATCCTACATCTGAGAGCAACAAACATGCAAAAGCTAACAAAGGCATGGCGTGAGAGACAACCGTAATGTGCAGGCAACTAGAAGAAGAAATGCCCACTAACAATCAGCACACTGAAGAAAATAAAATGCAAAAAACCGGTTTAACATACCATACAATTTTCGACGAAAGCGTTTTGTATTTTATTTCAATCAACAAAATATCTTCTGTTTTCATACTTTTCCATTAGGTGGTTCTCTTTCGCTCTTCGTTTCGTTACAAATGCTCATTGTAGCTCTGGTGCTTCTTCGTCATTCTTCTTCTTCTTCTTCTTCTTCTCTTTCTTCTCTTTTTTCTCTTTTTTCTCTCTTTTCTCATTCTTATTTAGTCTTCGTGGCTGAACCTTCTGTTTTGCTGTTTTGTAGACTGTAAATGCAGTCCAGAATCTTAGTTCGTTGTAGTTTAATAGCGAATGACGTTCGTTTGCAATATTATTATTACGTTCTTTCGGCTTCAATGTGATCTGCAAAAAACTGTTATTGCATTGTGAAAGTTGATAATATTTACATCATGCCCAGACCGAAATCACCATAGTTGAGCAGAGGTCGAAGGACATGTATCCTAATACACAATTTGGATGCATATGTCACTTTAGCTGGCACATGAGCATTTTGTTATCACCGTGTAATCGATTCAATCATCAAAGTATCAAGCTGGTTCATCAAGTCAGAATGGAAAATAACATATCAATCTTTGTTTATTAAATCGTCGTAATTCATTGAATGTAATTTGAGTGACTATTTACTATAAATATTATTCAAATTACTTAGATCAAACTTTACCTCTCAGCTGGAAATTAATTGTCTTCCGTTCAGCTACACGCACAGGATGGGACAAGGTCAATGTTGTGAATTTTGATAAAAATATTGCACTTGTCCCGGCCTATGTGTGTTGTCTTGATGCTCATCATAACTTCGTGCGGAATAGTACTGATATTTTTTGCTATTGTTTAACTTACGTAATTTTCAAACAAGAACTTATACTTATATTTTCTTCTTCTTCTGCAGATTTCACTTTTGGAGAAATCAGTGAATGTTCAGGCCTGAAAATCATCAATGGCAGTGACTTGTAGCATTTTGATTCTCCAATGTAAGTAAACATCGTTTAATTGCATCTCTAATTTCCATTTCTAATTATAAGAATACAGTAAATCAACGCATTGAATGCAATCGTCGACAACATTCTCAGGGGAAGTAATGAACTAATTATCTCGATACATTTCATTGACGATCATGTTACAAAATAGCCCAGTGTAGATGAAAGGAGACAAGAAAAGTTCTTTGCTTAAAACACGAACCATAAGAATCAAGTAATATTCTAAGTAAATTTGTTCATCTAGTACCTGGAATGTTTGCATTGTTGCAGCTTTTGCATCGCATGCATTTTCGTGCAAAATATTATCGTATTAAAATAACCTGGGTGGCATTCACCAACTACTTTCGGAATACTCATGAATGAATTAATGAATGATTTACTTTATTTGTTTTAGTTTATAAATGCTAAGAAATCGTTCCGTGCAGTTGACGTATACACATGTTGCAGAAAAAGCTGTATTTTCGAGAGAAAAAAATACTCGGCTTCTCCACATGACTGGATGCTTCAATGTTGCACGTGCTACCTGGCGGTAAAAAACACAAGTTTTAATCCATCACCCAAGTTTTTTTTTTGTTTTTGAAAAGAGTGCCAAAACAATGATTGTAAATAGAGATTATCTACACAGACTGTTATATTTGAACGTAGCATGTGATTGCCATATGAATTTCCACTTTACAACTAAAATTACGTGGTAGAATGAACGAAAACTTCATTAAAATTTCGATACAGTGGACGAAGAAACGGTGCGCTAGTAATTTTTATTTATCTTTCTGATAAGTTCACTATCTTTACGTGAGAGAATCATTTTGTGTCCACACATATCAATGAGTAGTATATTATTTTGTCATGCCGAAAAGAGAGGCGTCATGTTAATTCATTTTCACACTTATGGACTCTTCAGTTCACTTTTGTTGATAATATGCCAGCTAGGCACATTAAAAAAAAATTGTGCCATACTATTTTGGTAACTCAATTTTAAGATGGCTTGTGATACATGATGCAAACCAATTTCATGCAAATTCAATCACAAACTTCAAAATAATAATTAAAGAAGATAAAATGTTCCACAAACAAACAATTATCAAAGCGACCACTAAAAATGCCCTAATATAAAATATAACTTTAATTTTGAATGTATTTGTCTTATATTATCTATATGTTACTCTGATACATTCATTGCGAATAGATCAATTTGATAAACATGAGGCTCTTTTTGTCTTGCACGCGAATAGAAAATTCTTGTAACAATTTATTGAGATTGACCTTACCACGTTTTATTATTCTTACCTTCATGTACACTCCGCCACGGATATGTAGGCTGGAGGTGGTCTGCCGTAAATGAGTGCATATCGTGGAAGAAAAGAAGTTGAGAATTCATTTCAAAGGTGATTTTACTACATACCAATTATAATTTCTATGGACTCGAATTACTTTAACCGTGATTAAAATTCAATAAAAAAAGCGTCTTTCTATTTGGCTACACAATTCGAGCACTTTTTAGAAAACAGTATAGAATCTGGGAGCCAAAAAAAATTCTCTATCGACTGACATTGATATGAAACGAAAAATTAAATACCATTGATCACTTTTTATCTCAAAATATGAATCGTAATCATTAAATCATCTGTAAACATCATGCGTAAGAGTTTATTTCGATACGAATTAGAAGCAAAAAAGAAAAGATATTTACAACCACACAAGTTTGCAATCAATTTATTAGCATTTCAGTTTATGCGGTTCCACCATTCCACGAGCAATAACAGAAAACAGTTTTTTTGATGTTTTTTTACATTTGTTTTTAAAATCATAATTGATTCGACTTCATATTGGCCTCAGATATATATATATGTATATATAATTTGTATATAAACGACGTTGATTGTGTGTCCGAATGAATGATGCGGCTCGAAGCCAAGCAAAGAGAGAAATCAAAACTTTAATTGAGCATAGGAATTTTTCATTTCGGCACTGTCTTACATGGACTTGAATTCCATTTCTTCCCGCCTCTGCCTCCATTCATTCAATTACAGCTAGTTACTCCTGCTAGTTCAACTTTAAAGAAAACCTCAAGACACACAGAAAAACATCTTGAATATTTGTCTCAAAACGTTTGCTCCGATACGATTTACATTCGAACGGACACAGTATAAGTATACGACTGGTTCATTTTCAAATAGATATAACAAAAAAAATATTTTTTTATACCAGAATGTATGAGTCCAATACACATACATGACAATACGTAAGGCACTGTCTGTCGATATTAATAATAGTTGGAGGCAAGAAATATGAAACGAACATAAGTATAAATAATATTGTAAAGGCGCAAAAACTATTGAATTTGTATAAAATCGCAAAAAGCAAGAATACGAGCACATAGAAAAGCTGTCATTAGCACAGTGGAGTAGTTCTTCTCCTGTATCCACATTTATGCGGAATACATTGAAAGCCAATAGCGTATGCGAATGCGCGCTCTTTCTGTTCAACACATTTCGTTACGATAGATGGATATAATACACAGATGATGAATGTATGTATATAAGTATATTTTAAGCACTTCAACGACGACCAACTAAAAAATATTTTTTTTTTATTTCACTCGTTTCTATGCGATGCGCTTTGTACTCGTCTTATCGTATGAGAGCTAGACTCGGTTTGTCTGTGAGGAGAAATAAGCGGTGAATGCTTCATCATGTGAACGTATTAGTTTCTCGGCTGCCAATGCGAATGTATAATGTATATTTAAAAAATTTGTGTATTTTTTACTTCTGCTTGTTCGTCGTTCGTTCGCTTTTCGATGTTGTTGAGGCGGCATTTATGTGTTTGAGTGTATGCTACTTCGACTTGTTTAGTGTTTAGTGCTGCTAAAAACTTTGAACGAGTCAAAAGGATTTTTTAAAGTCTCTTAAAAATTAAATAATTTCATACGAATTAGCTAGTTCTGATAAATTATTTTCATTAAAAAATATCACTTTTATTATCATCGAATACCGTTTGGAAAAGACCAATTAAATGTTTATTGAATTTTCAAATGGAATCGTTTCAAACCGTATGACTTACAAGTATATATTAAATTTTCTTTTTGAAACACATAGATTCGATTGATGTCTTGACGCAACGGGCAAGAAAAGTATTCTTCAAGTCACAAAAACATACATTCTCAATTTAAAGACGATAGAATAATGTATAAGCAACGTCGACCAACAATGAACGATTTGGATGTGCAGTTAATAAGAGAGTTTGCAATGCGTCCGATTATCTATAATAAGGCCACACCATTTTTTAAAAATAAATATTTAACCGATTGTGCTTGGGACGAAATTGCAAATAAAATCGGTGGCGACGGTGAGTCATTTTAACCGACTATTTTTTTGTTGTCGTTGTTTTTGTATATATGAGTTCACAAATTTATTACTCAATGTGCTTCAACATGAGTTTTTAAAATTTTGTTTTTATTATAAACATTTCGAAAAACAACTGATATTCGTGATTTCCGTCGTTTCTTGTGAGAAGGTTTGTTTGTATTTTGTAGTGAACAATAATGATTACAGAGAAAAACAAACATTTGTACAGAAGAAAAAAAACTTCAAAACCAGATAAGCAATTTCCAATAGACTAGGTCGAACAGAATTGAGTCCGTTTTTTATTAATATTTCAAACAACTAAATTCAAAGGTTTTTCATCGTATGAATGTCGGATTGAATAGCACTCAAACAGTAAATTCGCATTTGCAAAGCGAGATCGAATTCAAAAAAGACATACCACATACAAAGAAAATATTAAGATTGCAATGTATAGAAAAATGACTTTGAAATGCGATTTAAAATTTGCTAATGACTGTTTTCGCGTCATTGTTTATTTAATATCACTGGAACTATCTCACTGTAGTCTAACTATATCCATATGATATACGTATTATATATTACCAAAGTATTAATCCATTTATTATAATCGAACGAAATAATAACAAAAAAGAAACGTAGTTCATAGAAGCAAGACGAAAACGAACAAAAAAAAATTAAGTAATACCGAAGAAACAGAGAAGAAATGAATAATACAGCAAGAGAACCTTTAAACAGCGCTGGCAATAACAACGAATACAAAAAATAATAATAACATAAATAGACAAAAAAAAACAAAATATGTTATATACATATCTGTATCGGCTACGAACGAAGCAAAACACAAAAAATAAAAAGATAAAAAAAATAAATAACTATTAAATACACAGTCAGAAAGACAAGCGTACACTAGCACATGCCAGTATGTAGCAAGTACGCGCAAAACAATAGATAGCTTGGAAATTAGTTTTTGTTTGTATATACATAGAAAACTCACTTCGAATCCATATTTCCACATGAAAACCGAGCGAGCCACAAGCTCAAATAGTTCAAAACCAACGTAAAGAAAACCAAAACTTTTTAAAATAAATTTGTTTTTGTGAATCACATGTGGATGTGAGCGGATGTGTGTGTGTATGTGTGCGTGAGTCAGTATACGGGTATGCGCATCTTTGTTTATAAGAAACCGTACGACAGTGTGTAGTATTGTATGCGAACAGGCGGATCAACAGTGTAGAGGTAGATTTTCACATGACATTTTGCCTAGATTCTACTCCGTATATTCTTAGTGCATTGGATGCCATTAAATAATACACTCATGATTCTATTGAAATGACATTGAATCAATACAACTACCAACGCTAGTAAATGTAGCAATATAATATGCATCGTTAATGTTGGCGAAGCATCTATCTATGTGCAGTATATGAATAACAAATTGCTCCAGATAGTAAATATGAGACAATAGAAATATTTCTTATTTTGAATTCGAGTGGAGGCGCCCATTGAAATAATTGAAATTTGTATTTTATCAGATTCCAAGAATTCGAAACTTTTCCATATTGTTGTTCTTTTTTGGCACATTTATCAGCAAGTAAAAGCTTTCGTTTGATTCCACTCATTTTTTCTTGAAACAGTGAATCGAGTTCGGGATCGAATAAATCAACTTCGAAATCGATATAATTTGGAAAAGCGCAAAGTTGACCTCCAAAAAGCTGATGGATATACAAATGCTCGCTCCACATGGCCGTTATTCGAACATTTGCGTTTTTTGGATAGCCACATTCGACCAAGAAAATCGTACAAAGCACTTGGACGTAAGCCGCGGCCGGTTGGAAGACCTCGTCGTAATAATCTTTATGAAAATGACTCTTATGTGATGTTCAATGAACGAGGTACAGCTCAATATGCCAACCCAATTGCCTTACAACAGCAGCAGCAGCAGCAGCAACAACAACAACAAGAACAACAGCAACATCAGTTGCAACAAGATCAAACTGTTCAAATTAAAACCGAACCCGATTTAAATAAAGCAGCCGATACGGAATCGAATGCTTATCGTAGTGAATATGACACGTAATAATACTAGCGATTGCTTTCGTACGTCCTTTTCATAATAGCATTTTTGATATTACAGGGACGGTGAAGTAGATGGCAACTATCGCGAACAAAGCGAACCGAAAAGCAACAGTGATGGTGAAAATTTCATTGATCCGGCATCATTTTTGTAAATATCAAGATTATAGCTTGATTTATTTCTTATCGTTAATTCAATGGGTGTCATCTGATTTTTTCAGGGTCGAAAATGAGGACAGCATAACAGAAGATCCAAGTAAACAAAATGGCAATGTTCAAGATTCCGGAACTTCCCACCCATTTGCAAACGTACAAAAGAAAGTTCCAGCAATTAGTCTTTCCTTAAGAAATTTGAATTCCATGAGACATCAGCCGCTGCCAATGACAAATGGTGATACCAATCAGAATTCCAATCAAACGATTGCACTTGACTCGGAATCGGAAATATCAACTCAAAATCAGTCGTACAAACGCATTACATCGAAAAACCCATCATCAGCTAAATTCGAAGCATTCGGACATTTTGTAGCTTCTTCACTTATTGATTTACCTGAAAAGAATGCCTTGGAGTTAGTAGAAAAGTTCACTAGTGAAATAGTCAAATCACTGATTGGATCTAAAACAACGGCAGCAACACCTGAAAGAGAATGATTTCTTTGCCATATTATCGTAGGTTTTCCATTCTTTTCGTCGAATAAATTCGATCTTATCAGTATTTGATCTTTTTAGAAGAATGAATTCCTCTTCCTACCATTGTTGTTACAATTTGTTTCGAAATCTATCTTCCAACACTTGATGAATGTTAATTAAATTTATTTAACTTTGCCTAATTATTATAAATAATAAACCATTGAAAATGTTTGTTTGCATTTAAATTCTCTTATAAATGTAGTAAATAAAGACAACATATTTAGTAAAACTAAAATAAATTTTTTGTGGTCAAATTTCAAGGAATTTTATTTCAATACGTTGAAGCAAAAACACTGAATTGGACGATTCCTAGCCCAGTGTCACATTTAGGATTTCTGGTCATCATCAAATTTGGCTGAATTTCTTCCGATCAACAAAATGGTTTTATATTGTAGGACGTGACTGGTGCCATTTGCTATGTTATGATTGTCACATTGCACTAGTCCCGGCCTGCAAAAGATTCCATACTCAACACAATTGGTTCGCCATCGATTCTATAGGAACCGGAGCATGAATACATATTATTTAAAAGTAATATAAAAATATCCTAATGAATATTTAAGAATGAATACACAATAAAATAATAAAAAAAATTTATTCGTTTTAAGCCATACGAAATGTTCTTGAAAATATTTCATCAATAAAGCAGACATGTCCATGTTGGTGGTTTATATGTAGAAGATTGTAAACATTGCAATAAATAAACAGAAAAACATTACTTTTAAGAATCAAATGCTCGAAAACATAAAAATAGAAATTTCATCATTAATGTGGGCAGTATCAAGGTATTCTCGTAGAGAACATATACAAAAAATGAGGTTACCTGGATGAAAAATTGACTAGGCGGCCAGGTTTTTTTCGTGAAAATTAATCAAAATTCAGATATCTTAACCTACATTCATTTTCCTACCAATTTTTTTTAAATAGTTTGTTCGAAAAAGAGTGTAAAAAGTTGTTCTACAAAGCAGTGATGTTTGTTTGTTGTTCGATCCATTATCCATATCCATTCAACATATTATGGGCTCGGATCGTCAGAATGTAGAATTATATGTCGCGTATAAGTTACACATATCGTGGACATTGCCGATATTTTACGCATATTTGTGATATAATAGATAAATATCATTTCACATGCTTCAATATCCGCAAAAACCGTAGTTTATACACTTATGGCCAATTTATGTTGTCCGGGATGGATTTAATCCGTGGGGTAAAATGGATTTTCGTCAGAAGACCAAATTTTTCGATAGAACTTATACCTATCACATAGGAAATTGATGCTTAACTCCATTTCGGCTATTAATAATGTTAAAAGTATTTCAAATATTTTTTCACACCAAGATATTTGAAAAAAAA